GATTGCAAGATCAACAGGTTGGCAGTTCGAGGCCTGGGTGCTGCATGAAGCGGCGAGCTCCCATCACTAGTCCCAGCTTCTGCCAACATAGCAGTTCAAAAGCATGCAAATGCAAGTAGGTAAATAGGTACCACTTTAGTAGGAAGGTAAACAGCATTCTGTGCAATCATGCTGGCCACATGATCATAGAGTAGTCTCTGACAACGCTGGCTCTTCGGCTTAGTAATGGAGATGACCACCACCTCCTACGGTCGGACACGACTTGACAACCTTGTCAATGGGGAATACCTTTACCTTTACCTATCTGTATTTTATATGCTAACTATGGGGCAAAGCAGACCAGCCAAAAAGGGAGGATTGAGGCTGCACTGGCACTGTTTGTGCTGGGGCTGGGGCAACCACATGTGCACGGCCTCAATCTGACCCCCTGCCACAGTCCCAAAGGGACTGCAGCAAGGATTCGCTCCTTCCTGGGCAGGGTTTGGTCTGTCTTAGCCAGTCCAGGTGCAGCTTTGGCATGGCTTTGGTGCAGGTTGGGTGTGTGTGTCATATAACTACCATGCCCCCAAACCACACGAAAGCCAGCTTTTTTTTTTTCACCCATCAGTTTTGGGCCTTAAACTTAGCTTAGTTTTCCCCCAGATTCTTCGCTCTATCAGTGCTAGGGATGGGAGAGGATAGCTACTCTTTTCTCTGATCACTCAGTGGAGATAAAAACTGATAAGCTTATCGCATTGTGTTCTCATAACATAATGAGTATGTGATGAGAATGGAATGGAACATGTTTTATTGCATGGTATGATCTTCATCGAGTTCCCATTCTGTGTTCTGACAGTCCCTAGCCCGTTCCAGCAGGACAACTGTAAAAATGCATCCTCAGCCAGCAAGAATGCTTTCAGACCGTTCAATATGATGTGAGTGCAATAATCCTATCCAGTCTCAATCTGTCCTCATGTTCTTATTGGCTAAGACAACCTCCTCCCCTCCTGTCCTAGAACGTCCACAAACTCAACTCAACTCTTCTGGTGTTAATGCAAGGAAGGTGACACAGGTAATTTTTTTATTTTTTTATTTTTGTAGATTGAATTGCATCGTGTTTACAAGAAAAAA